GGGGTGCTCAGATGGCAGTGGAGTGGGAGATGCGCCCTCAGGGTGCTGAGATGGCAGTGGAGTGGGAGACGAGCTCTCCGGGTGCTGAGATGCTGGTGGAGGTGGAGACGCACCCTCGGGGTGCTGAGATGCTGGTGGAGTGGGAGACGCGCCCTCGGGGTGCTGTGATGGCGGTGGAGTGGGAGACGCGCCCTCGGGGTGCTGAGATGCTGGTGGAGTGGGAGACGCGCCCTCGGGGTGCTGAGATGCTGGTGGAGTGGGAGACGCGCCCTCGGGGTGCTGAGATGGCAGTGGAGTGGGAGATGCGCCCTCGGGGTGCTGTGATGCTGGTGGAGTGGGAGACGCGCCCTCGGGGTGCTGTGATGCTGCGGAAGTTTCCAGGGTGCTGTGGACCGAGGACATAGAGGGCGTCGGCGTGGCACCTGCTGCGTCGCTGTACTTGGATGTGGAGCTCCTATGCGTGGACCTGGGGGTGGGGTTGGTCGCGGGGGACGCCCCTTGTGCGGCTGGAGGGTGTTCAGAGCTGGGCATGCCTGACACACCCACTGAGGATGCGGGTGCCCCAGTGGCCACAGTCAGGGCGTCGTGGCCGGCGTGGACCGGGGTCAGGACCGCCGCCCCTGCGGTCTCGTGGACGACCCAGCTCCGGCTTGTGGCCGCAGGGCCCTGCCTGCTGGAGACCACGGTGGAGGGAGCAGGAGACGCGACATGGCGCGGGGTACCTGGGGTCGCCGGGGACACCAAGCCGACGGAGTTAGACCCTCGGCCGGCCCCTGTCCCCTGAGTCCGCGCCACCTGGGAAACGGCGGACGTCTCCCGAGGAGAGGGGCTGGGGGAGGTGGGGCCGGCCTGTCCTGGCGGTGCCCCTGCGGTGGGGACCTGGGACAGGGCGGGGGAAGAGGGGACCATGGCGGACCCCGTCCCCACGCTTGCCGGGGTGATGTCAGGACTGGCTGAGGGGGACCCCGTTCCTGGGGTGGCATCAGGACTGGCTGAGGGGGACCCCGTTCCCGTGCTTGCCGAGGTGGTGTCAGGACTGGCTGAGGGGGACCCCATTCCTGGGGTGACATCAGGACTGGCTGAGGGGGACCCCGTTCCCGCGCTTGCCAAGGTGGCATCAGGACTGGCTGAGGGGGACCCCGTTCCCGCGCTTGCCAAGGTGGCATCAGGACTGGCTGAGGGGGACCCCGTTCCCACGCTTGCCGAGGTGGTGTCAGGACTGGCTGAGGAAGGCCCCGTTCCTGGGGTGGCGTCAGGACTGGCTGATGGGGACCCCGTTCCTGGGGTGACGTCAGGACTGGCTGAGGCGGACTGCAATTCGCTTGTTGACTGGGGGGTGTGAGTGTCCCTGGAGGGTCTTGGTGAGAGTGGCGTGGTCTCGCCTGAGGTGGACATTCCGTGGCTTCCTGAAGGTGTTGTGCCACTCGTCCTGGATGAGGAAGGGGTAGCTGTGCCCGCTGCGATGGTGCCTGACCCTGAGGAGGCCGGTTGGCTGGTCTGTGTTTCTCCAGAGGCCTCTGTGCCCCGAGCCTGGTGGGTTTGGGTGATAGCTGGTGCTGTGTTGGGTGACGTGCTGGCAGAGGCTGATGTCCATCGTCCTTCTGCGCCCACTGGTGTTGACACCACAGAGGTGGTCGGAGGAATGGCACCTGTGATGGAAAGCGATGTGCCTCCTGAGGGCCCCAGGGTGGCGCCAGGGCTGCTGGGTGCCGCCTGCAGTGCTGTGGTTGGGGCCTGGGCTGTGTGCCCAACCCTGGTGGGGGCTGGGGTGAAGGTTGTTGTGGCACTTACGGTGGATGCGTCCTGAGGAACAATTTCTGAGGGCGAGTGTCCGCTGGCTGTGAAGGAAGAAGCTGGGGTGGTGGCTGTCTTGAGGCTGTCAGTCACGGGGGAGATGGACCTTGTGGCTTGGGATTCTCGTGTGGTCTTCGAGGCTGGAGTGTGACCTCCCTGGGAAACAGCCGATGATCTCTGAGGAGAGGTGTTTACGGGATGTATTGTTGAATGATATGTTGATGGTGCCATTGTAATTTTTTGTGGTGTGTGTCCATCCAGCATAGGTGAGGAAGATGGGGATGTGGCTGCTTTTGTCATCTGGGTCACACTGTATTTTGGGCTGTGGACAAGAACCTCTCCAGTGGTCCCCGTTTCTTGTGTCCATTGTGTCTGGGCACCTGCCCCTGTTGTTTCTGGGAGAGTTGTGCTATGGGAGGGGCGTGTGCTGGGCTGTCCTGGTTCCCCGATTGTTGAGACCTCAGAAGGGACTCCTGGAATACTGCCAGCTGTCCACGTAGCGGGACTTGCTGTGACAAGCATAATGGCAGCACTTGTTGGTGTTGAAGGCAGCTCTTTTGGTAACCAAGTTGTGTGGCCTTCACTGGAGAATGAAGAAGTCAATGTTGTTTCATGCGGAGTAAACGTCTCAGGAGATGCCCTTGGAGAGAATGAGTTCCTTTCATGGGGCCGTCCTGTGGTCTCTGCACCTTCACTCGGGTGGGTGTGGAAAGCTGTGGATAGTTTTGGAGGTAAAGAACTGGGGGAGAGTGCTGTTGACAGTGTGTCTGACCACCATATGGTCGAAACTTTAGAAGTGATGGCAGAAATGGTTCCACTTACAGATAGTGATGTCTCCTCTGTGTTTCCAAGAGTAGAATCTGTGGAGGCTGGCATTCTGAACACCTCTGAGGTTACTGGGAATGTGTTGCTGACACTGGAAGGGGATAAGGTGGTTGTTGCACCAGAAGGGAGTGTCTCCTGAGAAACTGTTCCACTCAGATTGAGTCCACTTGGTGAGGATAAAACAGTTGATGCAACCAGTGTGAGGGTGTTGATCTGAGGTACTCTGGTGGTCCCCATGCTCTGAGTCCGCTGGTTCTGAGGAAAAGCTGTTGTGTCCTGGGTAGAAGTCCTTGAGGAAGTTGCAGGCGATTCTCCTTCTGGTTCAACTGGTATTGAGGCTACTGAGGTGACGGGCATAAGACTTCCTGTAACGGGTACGGATGTCTCCCCTGTGTTTCCAAGAGTGGAGTCTGTGGAGGTTGTCCTTGTCATAACTTTTGGTGTCATCATTGGTGTGTGGCTGAAACTAGAGAGGGATGAGGTGGTCATTTCATCTGGATGGGCTGTCTCCTGAGAGAAGCTTCCTGTCAGAGTGTGTCTACGTGGTGAGATTAAAGGAGCTGATGTCACCACTCCTGTGACGGTCGCGGTTTGAGATTCTCTGGTGGTGTCCGTGCTCTGAGTCTGATGATCCTGAGAAAATGCTGACATGTCCTGAGTAGAGGCCTTTGACGAACTTGCTATTGATTGTCCTTCTGCTTCAGCCGTTATTGAGGCTGCTGAGGTGACTGGGGCAGGACTTTCAGTTCCAGGTATTGATGATTCCTCTGTGTTTCCAAGAGTCGAGTCTGTGGAGGTTGTCATTGTTATGGTCTTGAATGTCATCATGGGTGTGTTGGTGACACTGGAGGGGACTGAGGTGGTCGTTTCATCTGGACGAGATGTTTCCCAAGACACAACCTCTGTCACATTGAGTACACTTGTAGAGGAGGAAAGAGTTGATGTGGTTCTCTGCGGGAGGGTGCTGGTTTGAGCATCTCTGGTGGTCTCCATGCTCTGAGTCTGGTGGTTCTGAGAAAAAGCTGTTGTGCCCTGGGTAGACATCCTTGAGGAAGTTGCTGGTGATTGTCCTTCTGGCTCAGCTGTTATTGAGGATGATAAGGTGACTGGCATATTTCCAGTAAGTGGTGTGGGTAGCTCTGCGGTGTTTCCGTGAGTGGTGTCTGTGGAGGCTGCCATTGTTATAACCTTTGATGTCATCATGGATGTGTCCGTGACACTAGAGAGGAATGAGGCAGTCTTTTCATCTGGAGGAAATGTGTCCTGAGAAACTGTTGTGGTCACATTGTGTACACTTGGGGAGGATGAAACAGTTGATGTGGACATCTGTGTGAAGGTGCTGGTTTGAGACTCTCTGGTGGTCTCTGTGCTCTGAATCTGGTGGTTCTGAGAGGAAGCTGATGTGTCCTGGATAGAGGTCCTTGAAGAAGTTGTTTGTGATTGTCCTTCTGGTTCAGCTGTTATTGAGACTGCTGAGTTCACTGAGGTAGAACTTTTAGTTCCAGGTGTTGATGTCTCCTCTGTACTTTTAAGAGTAGAGTCTGTGGAGGATGGCATTGCTGATGTCATCATGAGTGTGCTGCTGACACTGGAGGGGAATGAGGTAGTCGTTTCATCTGGAGGGGATGTCTCCCAAGACACAGTCTCTGTCACATTGAGTATACCTGGGGAGGAGGAAAGACTTGACGTAGGTCTCTGTGTGAGGGTGTCGGTATCAGATGCTATGGTGGTCTCCGTGCTCTGACTCTGATGGTTCTGAGAAACACCTGCAGTGTCTGAGGCGGAGGTCCTGGAAGAAGTTGCTGGTGATTGTCCTTCTGGCTCAGCTGTTATTGAGGATGATGAGGTGACTGGCATAAGATTTCCAGTAAGTGGTGTTGATGTCTCCACTGTGTTTCCAACAGTGGAGTCTGTAGAGGTTGTCATTGTTATCATCTTTGATGTCATTGTGACACTAGAAAGGAATGAGGCAGTTGTTTCACCTGGAGGAGATGTGTCCTGAGAAACTGTTGTGGTCACATTGTGTGCACTTGGGGAGGATGAAAGAGCTGATGTGGACATCTGTGGGAGGGTGCTGATTTGAGCTTCTCTGGTGGTCTCCGTGCTCTGAGTCTGGTGGTTCTGAGAAGAATCTGCTGTGTCCGAGGTAGAGGTCCTTGATGAAGCTGCTGTGGATTGTCCTTCTGGCTCAGCTGTTAACGAGGCTGCTGAGGTGACTGTGGTAGGCCTTTTAGTTCCAGGTGTTGCTGTCTCCTCAGTGTTTTTAGGAGTGGACTCTGTAAAGGTTGTCATTGTCATAACCTTTGATGTCATCATGGATGTGTTGCTGACACTGGAGGAAGATGAGGTGGTTTTTTCACCTGACAGGGATGTCTCCTCTGCAACAGTTCCTGCCACATTATACACACCTGTGGAGGAGGAAGGAGTTGGTGTGGTTCTCTGTGGGAGGGTGCTGGCTGGAGCATCTCTGGTGGTCTCCATGTTTTGATTCTGGTGGTTCTGAGAAAAACCTGCTGTGTCCTGGTTAAAGGTCCTTGAGGAAGTTGTTAGTGACTGTCCTGGCTCAGCTGTTATTGAGGATGCTGAGGTGACTGGCATAAGAGTTTCGGTAAGTGGTGTTGATGTCTCTGTTGTGTTTCCAAGAGTGGAGTTTGTGAAGGTTGTCATTGTTATAGTCTTTGATATCATCACGGGTGTGTTCGTGACACTAGAGAGGGATGAGGTAGCTATTTCACCTGGAGGAGATGTGTCCTGAGAAACAGTCCCTGTCACATTGTGTACACTTGGGGAGAAGGAAGGAGTTGATGTGATCATCTGTGTGAGGATGCTAGTGTGAGATTCCCTGGTGGTCTCTGTGCTCTGACTCTGGTAGTTCTGAGAAGAGGCTGATGTGTCCCAGATAGAGGTCCTCAAGGAAGCCGCTGTGGATTGTCCTTCCGGCTCAGCTGCTATGGAGGCTGCTGAGGGGACTGGAGTAGGACTTCTAGTTCCAGGGCTTGGTGTCTCCTCAGTGATATTAGAAGTGGACTCTGCAAGGGTTGTCACTGTTATAGTCTTTGATTTCGTTATGGATGTGTTGCTGACACTGAAGGGGAATGAGGTGGTCATTTCTTCTGGAGGGGATGTCCCCTGAGAAACAGTGTCTGTCACATTCAGTACACTTGGGGAAGAGGAAAGAGTTGACATGGTTCTCTGTGAGAGGGTGCTGGTTTGAGCGTCTCTGGTGGTCTCCGTGCCCTGAGGCTGGTGGTTCTGAGAAGAAGCTGATGTGTCCCGAGTAGAGGTCCTTAAGGAAGTTGCTGATGATTGTCCTTCTGGCTCAGTTGTTATTGAGACTGCTGAGGTGACTGGCATAGAACTTCCAGTAAGTGGTGTTGATGTCTCCCCTGTGTTTCCAAGGGTGGAGTCTGTGGAGGTTGTCATTGTTATATCCTCTGATGTCATCACAGGTGCGTTGCTGAGACTGGGGGGTGATGAGGTTGTTGTTTCCCCTGGAGTAGATGTCTCCTGAGAAACAGCCCATGTTGCATTATGTACTCTTGGGGAGTAAAAAAGAGTGGATATGGGCATCTGTGTGAGGGTGGTGGTTAGAGATTCTCTGGTGGTCTCCAGGCTCTGAGTCTGGTGGTTCTGAGAAAAAGCTGTTGTGTCCTGGATAGCGGATCTTGGGGAATTTTCTGGTGATTGTCCTTTTGGCTCACCTGTTATTGAGACTGCTGAAGTGACTGGCTGAAGACCTTCAGTAACAGGCATTGTCTCCTCAGTATTATTAAAAGTGGACTCTGCAAAGGTTGTCATTGTTATAATCTTTGATGTCAATATGGGTGTGTTGCTGACACTGAAGGGGAATGAGGTGGTCTTTTCATCTGGAGGGGATGTCTCCTGAGAAACAGTGTCTGTCACATTCAGTACACTTGGGGAAAAGGAAGGAGTTGATGTAGTTCTCTGTGTGAGGGTACTGGTTTGAGCTTCTCTGGTGGTTTCCATGCCCTGAGTCTGGTGGTTCTGAGAAAATGCTGCTGTGTCCAGAGTAGAGGTCCCTGAAGCAGTTGCTGTGGATTGTCCTTCTGGCTCAGCTGTTATTGAGGCTGCTGAGGGGACTGGGGTAGAACTTACACTTCCAGGTGCTGACGTCTCCTTGGTGTTGTTAAAAGTGGGATCTGTAAAGGCCGTCATTGTTCTAGTCTTTGATGTCATTATGGGTGTGTTGCTGACACTGGAAGAAGATGAGGTGTTTGTTTCACCTGAAGGGAATGTCTCCTGAGAAACAGCCCCTGCCACGTTGTATACACTCGGGAAGGACGAAAGAGTTAATGTGGACATTTGCGTGACCATGCTTGTTTGAGCTTCTCTGGTGGTCTCCATGCTCTGAGTCTGGCGGTTCTGAGAAAAGGCTGATATGTCCCGGGCAGAGGTCTTTGAGGAAACTGCTGTTGATTGTCCTTCTGGCTCAACTGTTACAGAGGCTGCTGAGGGGACTGGAGTAGGACTTTCAGTTGCAGGTGTTGATGTCTCCTCAGTGTTATTAAAAGTGGACTCTGTAAAGGCTGTCATTGTTCTAGTCTTCGATATCATGGGTGTATTGCTGACACTGAAAAGAGATGAGATGTTTTTTTCAGCTGGAGGGGATGTCTCCTGAGCAACAGTCCCTGTCACGTTGTGTACTCGTGGGGAGGAGGAAAGAGTTGATGTAATCATCTGTGTGAGGGCACTGGTTTGAGATTCTCTGGTGGTCTCTGTGCTCTGAGTCTGCTGGTTCTGAGAAAAAGCTGTTGTGCCCTGGATAGAAGACCTTGAGGAAGCTTCTGCTGATTGTCCTTCTGACTCACCTGTTACTGAGCCTGCTGAAGTGACTGGCCTGAGACTTTCAGTAACAGGTGTTGTTGTCTCCCCTATGTTTCCAAGAGTGGAGTCTGTGAAGCTTGTCACCTTTGGTGTCGTCATGGACGTGTTGGTGACACTGGCAGGGGATGAGGTGATTGTTTCGCCTGGAGGTGCTGTCTTCTGAGAAACAGTTGCTGTCACATTGTGTACACTTGGGGGGGATGAAAGAGGTGATGTGGACATCTGGGTAAGGGTGGTGGTTTGAGCTTCCCTGGTGGTCTCCGTGCCATGAGTCTGGTGGTTCTGAGATGAAGCTGATATTTCCTGATTGGAGGTTCTCGAAGTTGCTGTTGATTGTCCCTCTAGTATAGCTGTTATTGAGCCTGCTGAGGTGACTAGGGCAGTGTTTTTACTTCCAATTGTTGATGTTTCTTCTTTGGTTCCTGGAGTGGAGTCTGTGGATGTTGTCATTTTTGGCACCTGTGATGTCATCAAGAATGTGTTTCTCACACTGGAATGGGGTGAGGCGGTTGTTTCACCTGAAAGAGGGGTCTGGTAAGGATTGCTCTTTGTAGAACTGCGTCTACCTGAAAAGGACGAGGGAAGCAGTGCTGTCATTCCTTTGAATAGAAGACAGAAAAACTTCATGAGATGAGAGTCTAAGCTCAGTGAAATTGAAGGTTTTATTACACAACTATTTTTTACCCGAAGCACTCCGTGTCACCAGGTGACAAAATGTTGAATATAAACATTTATTTACTTAACCATAGCTAAGAATTTTGCCTGCATATGCAGGCACCTACTGATAATGAATATTGCAATAAATAACATGTGCCAACATTTTGCCTCCATTATGTTTGCCTCCAAAGATTTCGTTTTGTTTTGTTTTTTTGAGATAGGATCTTGCTCTGCCACCCAGGCTGAAGTGCAGTGGCGTACTCAGGGCTCACTGCAGCCTTGACCTATGGACTCGGCAGTTCTCACAACTCAGCCTCCCAAGTAGCTAGGACCACAAGCATGTGCCGTCATGTGTAGCTCATCCTTTTTTTGTAGAGATGAGGTCTTGCTATGTTGCCCAGGTTGGTCTTGAACTCCAGGGCTCAAGGAATCCTCCCGCCTCAGCCTCCCAAAGTTCTGGGATTAGAGGCACACCATTTCCAGCCTATTCTGGAAGAACTATAATGGAATTACTGATTGAGTGCACCTGTACTTTCCCCTTATGAAGCTTAAAAGCGAAGATTCATGTGTCTCAGTCTCACAAAAATGTTTAACTAAAATACGCACATATCATGCATTTAAAAAAATGAAATTACCCTCATGTCCTACACACATATTTTTCAAACACTGCCCAGTAGATGAGTGGCCTGATTCCTTTTTCATCGTCATCTTTTCTCCTCCTTAGTCTTGTACTCGCTCCTGTCAATTTTTCTTCCCAACCCATCTCCTAATCCCATCCTCTCACGTTTTTCACTTGTGGTTCTCTTTTTCCCCCTCCTGTTTCCCCGCTGAAAAGCCCAGGAACATTGCCGCCCCAGCAGGACAGAGAGGGAAAGGCCGTGAGCTTGTGTATGTGAACGTGCTGCCTGCCTGAGTCCATACCCTATTGGCATTTGCTCAAACAGGCTTGTTCATTCTGCAGAAAGTAATGGAGAGCGCGTGCCCAGTTATGGAAGAGAATTTATGAAGACCCAAGTGAAAGGGACACTCCCTCTTCTCTGGAATAATGGTATTTTTGGTCGGGGGAGGTGGGGCAGAAGAGTCCCTGCCTTATATTCACACATGTAATTATTTTTCTTTCATTTTGCTTTCCCCGTGGATGGTCTTTGCGGGTCTCTCTTGCTTGCTGGTTCCCTCTACTTACAATCCAGAACTTCTTCCTGCATCCCTTTTTCTTTTTAACTGAAGTAAGAGTGAATTCTGTTCTGTTTTCAAAATCACGTGGGGAGGACGGTGGCTGAGCTCAGGACAAGCATTGGGGAGCGGCTTCTCAGGGTGCCCTGCTTCGTCATGGCCAGCAGGGCTGATGGAATGGTGAGGCCCAGAGGCCACAGGGTTGGTGACTCCTGGTACTTTTTAGAGACCAGAAAATGTTTTCATGTTAATTTCTTTTGCAATTACAAGAAAAAAAAATCCAAGTAATAATGAATTCAGCCTTGATTGATAGTCTTTGCAGTCATAGCATGATTTTTAATGTTTTTCTTTTACAGAGGGAGGGGCCCAGGAAGATATAAGTGTGGAGGGCCTGTGAAAGTCAGAAGGTGGCCCTTTTGCCAGGTGGTCTGAACAAGAGTCTAGGCACATTGGTAAGGAGATAGGCACAATAGAGATTCATTGATAACAATCTAGTTTCATTTTGTATTTTACATTAGATTGGGCAATTTGTATTGAAGTTTTTCCACACAAATTTTTAGCTTTTTGTGAAGTTTGTCCACAAACAGTAAAATGTTTATTAAAAAACAACAGAGCTGGCTGGGTATGGTGGCTCAATCCTGTAACCTCAGCACTTTTGGAGGCTGAGGTGAGTGGCCCGCCTGAGTCCCAGAGTTTGAGACTAGCCTAGGCAACATGATGAAACCCCATCTCTACCAAAAAAATATACAACAGTGGCTCGTGCCTGTGGTCCCAGCTACTAGGGAGGCTGAGGCGGGAGGATGGCTTGAGCCCAGGAGGCGGAGGACGCAGTGAGCTGAGTTCGTACTACTGCACTCCAGCCTGGGCGACAAAGTCAGGCCATGTTTCAAAAAAAAAAGCCCCATAACAATGCCATTTCTTACGTTGATACTAAAACTTTTTCCTATACAGTTATTATGATACAACAATAAACTCAGCTTCAACAATTTTGTGGTATTTTGTTATTTATTGAAAACCTTTTTTCCATGAATGAAGAGGTATTCCATTAAGGAATATGAACATCAAGGCTAAGGCACTGCTCCTTCTTTGAACAGAGCTGTTTTCTCCATGGCGACAGTAGGCGGACTTAAAACTCTTAATCAGAAGAAGATATTTGGTAATTAGTCAAATTCAAAACACCCAGAGTGGAAATAAGGTTGATATTCTGCAGAGTTACCAGCCATCTGGTTGAGGGCTGTGTTGTACACCTTCAGGACCTCAAAAGTAAATTTGTCAATGACATAAATTAGTTGTTTTTAAAATCCTGTAATGTAGATGTCCTTTTCAAATGAAAAGGTGTCATCAATCTGTTTTCAAGGAATTTAGAAATAAAATTGAGTTTTCATATATTTGATGTGATTTGAAGTGGCCAGTCTTTCTTGCTCAAGTTGCCAAATACTCCTCTCCTTAAAACAGCCTAAGAGGTAGAAGAAGATGAAGGCAGCGTCCCTGCCGTGGAGACTAAATGGTCCCTGTAGGGAAGGAAACATTCAGACTCCTCACAGCACAGCCTGCATCAGGCTCACAGCACAGCCTGCATCAGGGCGGCCAGTTAACATCGCTGCTGTATGAGCCCCAGGGTCAGGTCTGGTCAATAAAACCTGCTCCAGGTCAGTGGTTTAGAGACTTGCCTGGAGGAAAGCTTGAAGAAAAGATCCTGCAATAAAGATTAAGACACCCTCGCTGGGTGCGGTAGCTCACGCCTGTAATTCCAGCACTTTGGGAGGTTGAAGCAGGCGGCTCACCTGAGGTCAGGAGTTCAAGACCAGCCTGACCAACTTGGAGAAACTCTGTCTCTACTAAAAATACAAAAAATTAGCCGGGCATAGTGGCACATGCCCAGCTACTCGGGAGGCCGAGGCAGGAGAATTGCTTGAACCCAGGAGGCGGAGGTTGCAGCGAGCCAAGATCATACCATTGCACTCCAGCACTCCAGCCTAGGCAACAACAGCGAAACTCTGTCTCAAAAAAAAAAAAAAAAAAGACAGCCACAGTCTCCATGGACCAGCAGATTTAGTCTTCCCTCCTGCTACCTCTAGGGAAGCTGGGCAGCCCAGATGAGTAGGCTCCAGCACAGAACACCCCTCCACCAACGCACAGCCAAAGCGCATGGTCAAATGGGTCCTGCTTCCTGTGCTACCCCACTGGGTGAGAGCCCCCAGCAGGAGTTGTCAGACACCCTATACGGGAGTGTTTCTACTGGCATCAGCTCAGTGCCCCTCAAGGTCAGAGATCCCAGAGGAAGGAGGAGACACCCATCTTTACTGTTTTCCAGCCTCCTCAAGTGACATCTTCATGTGCAGGAGAGCGAACCAGATGAATACGGCCTGAAGTGAAACCCCGCAAACTGCAGCAGCCCTACGGAAGAGGGACCTGACTACTGACAGAAAAACAAACAGAACGCAATGACAACAGCATCGACAAAAAAGAAGCCCCACAAAAACCTTATCCAAAGGTCAGCAGCCTCAAAGATCTAAATGCGACAAACTCATGAAGTTGAGAAAGAATCCAACAACAACAACACTGAAAACCCAAAAGGCCAGAGTGCCTTTTCTCCTCCAAGTGATTGCAGCACCTGTTCAGCAAGGGCGCAGAACTGGACGGACGATGAGATGGATGAATTGGCAGAAGTAGGCTTCGGAAGGTCGGTAATAACAAATTTTGCTTAGGTAAAGGAGAATGTTCTACCCCAATGCAAAGAAGCTAGGAACCTTGATAAAAGGATGCAGGAGCTGCTAACTAGAATATGTTTACAGAGGAACGTAAATGACCTCATGGAACTGAAAAACCTAGCACGAGAGCACGTGAAGCATACACAAGTATCAACAGCCAAATCAATCAAGTGGAAGAAAGAATATCAGAGATGGAATACTATCTTGCTGAAATAAGGTAGGCAGACAAGATTAGAGAAAAAAGAATGAAAAGGAATGAATAAAACCTCCGAGAAATATGGGACTATGTAAAAAGACCTATGACTGATTGGAGTATCTGAGAGAGACAGGGAGAATGGAACCAAGTTGGAAAACACTTCAGGACATTATCCAGGAGAACTTCCTCAACCTAGCAAGACAGGTCAACATTCAAATTCAGGAAATGCAGAGAACCCCACTAAGATACTCCATGAGAAAATCAACCCAAGACACATAATCATCAGATTCTCCAAGGTTGAAATAAAGGAAAAAATGTTAAGAGCAGCCAGAGAGAAAGGCCAGGTCACCTACAAAGGGAAGCCCATAAAGCTAACAGCAGATCTTTCAGAAGAAACCCTACAAGCCAGAAGAGAGGGGGGGACCAACACGCAACATTCTTAAAGAAAAGAATTTTCAGGTCAGACACGGGGACTTACACCTGTAATCCCAGCACGTTAGGAGGCCGAGGCAGGTGGTTCTCAGCAAATGCAAAAGAACTGAAATCATAACAGCCTCTCAGACCACAGTGCAATCAAATTAGAACTCAGGATTAAGAAACTCACTCAAAGGCTGGGTGTGGTGGCTCACGCCTATAATCCCAGCACTTTGGGAGGTTGAGGCGGGTGGATCACGAGGCCAGGAGATTGAGACCATCCTGGTCAACACAGTGAAACCCCATCTCTACTAAAAATAGAAAAATTAGCCAGTTGTGGTGGCACGCACCTGTAGTCCCATCGACTCAGGAGACTGAGGCAGGAGAATCGCTTGAACCCAGGAGTTGGAGGTTGCAGTGAGCTGATATCGTGCCACTGCATT